ACATCGCAGAACACTACCCAATTTGAATTCTATTCTCTTTCTCACAGGCAAGGAGAAAAAAAAACAAAGTGACTGTCAATCTACTGTCTTGCTCGAATAAGCTATCACCACTCAAGGAATAAGCACTCTGTACTCTTACAATCAATTTGAACGTCTAGCAAGAGAAAAGCTCTAATATGGCGGGTCATAATCGTCGGCCTGCAGAGCCCTCGCCCCCTCCCCCACATTCCCCCTCCTGCAAAATGATGACGATTTCGGCAATATTGCTCGTATTTCCAAGACACAGTTGAGTTATGAACATAACAAAATGCCAAGATAATAATACCTTAGCCAAGACGCTATTTTCTTTATCAAAACCAACGAAAGGGAACAGTGGTCTGTCGTCGCTATATTCAATTAATGATGGCTTTTTATCTTCCGGAACTATCCTACTTCCGTTCACACTATAAACAACAGGAACTTGAATTTTGCCCTCTATCTCTTGCGCATTTTCAAACAGGACAGTGCATCGAATGACGTCACCTCGGCGAGCTGCGGTGGAGCCTAACACAAGATAAAATATTTAACTAGTTTGGCATCTGAGTAACAATAGCTTTTCATAATTAGAGACTGTCGACGTCCGAATCCTAAAGTAGAAGTTTTCTCCTTTCAATGCTCGATGCGATAACGTCATACTATGGGAAATAAAAAAAGAGGCCAGTTCACAGACTTAGTTTTTTCAATAACTTGAACATTATTTGTCGTTTATTTCTTGTAAACTTGTAATTGATGCCATAAAATATTGTGTTTCTGGCTTATGGAGGTATTTTTTCTGTCTGCCGGCATGAAAAAAGGGTACCAAATATAGCCAAGATCAGTCAAACATAATGCCAATTTTCGAGCATAATTTTAAGCATAATGCTGTTGTAATTCGAGAATGACGCTCAAAAGCCCTAATGCTCAAATTTTCGGCCATAATGTATCTCCAGTAACCCTATCAAGTAGTTCAATGTTATGCGAAGTTTAGTCTACATAAATACCTGTAGTTTTTCTGCAAGAATCTGAGGATGAATCATAGATTTTCTTAGAATCTGTAAAGTATCCCACAGTTCCTTCAAGTCCTGGAAATAGGCGTATGTCGTAATCTTCAAAGACCACGCCAAAAGCAATATATTTCGTCTCTCCACTTTCCAGAATCATCACCTTTAAAGGAGCGCGAAATAGTTTACTTTTTTTACTTCACGCAAAGAAGCCAAGGAAAATAAGAGATATCTGAATGAATGCTAATGAAAAAAAAAAAAAAGCATTCTTGAAAAACTTTCATGATAGCTGTGCATAGGCACAACAATTACTGCTCAAAGTTTTACCAAGCTAGATTTCAGACAAAAACAAAACAAAACAAAAAAACAAACAAGAAGAACATGTTTTGGGGAAATAAGTGAAAATAACTTCTTAAGCCGTACAAAATCTTAACTTAACTCGAGTACTCGCGTTCCCTTAGCTTGCTCTTTTTACTTAGTGGGGCTCAAAAGATATGTAACTGCGCAAGAAAGATATCGGTTATTTCACATTAAGGCCACCTCAGGTGATCCTTGAATTAAACATTTAAATTAACCAGAATGAAACTTACCTCAAAATGTGGAAATCGGCGGGAAAATGCTACTTTGTACCTAGCGCCACTTCCCAAAATATTGCGAACGTGTGGCAGACAAGTTATGAGGTAGTCTTCCACCAGTATGCCTTCATGAGTTTGCCATGCCTTTGAATTAACACAACTATTCAAGTCTATCATGTATTTCATTATCACAATTTTACCTTTCTATAAACAATTTATTAACGATAACGATAATGAAAATTAAGTAAAAGAAACATATAGTTACAGGAAGTCTAAAAAGTGCAAAATGGATACCTGTTGGAAGTTAAAAATGATCTGGCTGTTCTTTGCAAATAAGGGGCCAACCACAAACGTGATGGGGTATTCCCTTAATGAGACAGTTTTTTTTGTTTCCCTCAATAGTTTATGGGTTTAGTCAACTTGAAAGGGAGGGCCGCTAAATGTTTTCAAGAATTTCTTCTCCCAGTCACCTCGGCTTACATACACACATGTCATATACATTTTGTTTTTCGTTTTTCCCTTCCCCCATCCTGATAACGTTTGTAATACAGTCAACTCTCGCCTTGGGGACACCCCGCTATAACGGACACCCCGATAATACGGACAGCTGCTAAATCCCAGGGAACAATATATTACAGATGTTTGACTGAAATAAACTCCCGCTATTGCGGACTCTCGCTATTGAGGACAATAACTCAAGGTCCATTCAGTGTCCGGTATAAAGGGAGTTGGCTGTAGTCAATACACTTAGATGATATAATTACCTTTGGACCGGTAGGAAGAAGAGCTTTGTCATGACCTTTTTGATATGTGAAAATTCGGTAAAGAATCTGATTGACCATGCTTTCAGTACTGTCTGCATCATCAAGTAACTGGTCGATTTGATCTGTATATATATCAAATGTCGTCAATATTATTTTGAGGCGATATCGATCTAAAACGATTGTGGTCTAAAATTGGAATAAACCTTTTAACTTCAGTTAAATCTTCGGAACTTCAAGAGAGCTATTTGCAGTGCACACTCACTTGTTGGAGGAAAGGAATCTCCGTATTTAAGCCTGTACTTTTCCAGTAACGATTCGACCTGTTGTGAGCCAAAAAAAGAAAACAGATCATTCCGTTGCCCTACTAAAAGTGTTTTTCATTTTACGAACCGCCGCAAATTTCGGTCGAAGTATAAATGGAACGCTTCGCTCTAGACCTGTTGATCCAGTCCTTACGAAACTTGTTGACCATACTTCCACGTCATCAAAAAAAAAATTAACATACATAATAATATACACGAAAAAATTACTCAATTCTGATTGGCTGAGAAAGAAGTGCAGCTCTTCTGTAACACGAGTGCAAAATGTGTAACACGGGTGCAAACTTGTAACACGAGTGCAAATTACAAATGCTTTCTGATTGGCTGAAAACACAAAAGAAACCAACAAGAACCAATCAGATTAGAGCTGTTTTAACAACAAAAATTCAAGAAAATGGCCATGGTTTTCAGCAGACGACGACGGGATTTAATTTTGTCAGCAAAACAACAATAGAAAAGTTAAAAAAATATTCCAAAAACCCGAACACAGTAAAAAGTACGTCTTTCTGGCTAAATGTATTGAAAATGCGTTGTTAAGAGAAAATACTGTCAACAAAATCGAGGAAAGTGAGCCAGAGAAACTAAAAAACAAGCTACTTATAACAGACTACGCTAAAGTAAATAAAGAGCAAAAACGGTTGAAACCACACGCAAACCATGACAGCTACACTCTTCGGGCATTTAAATGAACAAGGATACAATTCCATGATAACAACAGGGATTTGAAGTCATGTACGTTATTTGTTGCTCTCTTTGAGTCTTTTGTGGAGGGAAGACCTCTATTAAAACATCCATGCGATGGTCTGTTTTTTTTTCTACCTCAGTAGCAAACGAAACCGAAAATTTAAACATCTGGTCCAAACTAAACCAATGGGCGAAAATACCATAACTCACATAATGAAATTATCCGTAGCTGGTACTAGCCTTAAAGAAAGTCAGAAAAAAGTTTACGAATCATTGTGCAAGAAAAACAACAGTCAGGAAGCTGAAGAAAGCAAAGATTGTAGGTTCAGAACATGTCGTCAGTGTCACAGGCCACAGTGGTATAAATTTCCTTAATGACTACGATGAAGCCGACGAAGAAGAGCTACGATGACTCTTGCAGTAGGCCAAATAAAATAATGAAAACTCCGGCGCTGAGAAAAAGCAAATATTATATTAATACTGGCAGTTTCCGACATCACAACAACTGTGGCTCCACTCACCAATCGATGGCAGCGTCGAAAGAAAACAAATTGCCTCCTTCATTTTCAGGTTTTAAATCTCAAAAATTTGTCCATGAATCCAGCTATGATGGGGTCTCAGGAACAGACAATGATAAACAGTTGTTAAAAACCCTTAGCAAGTGTCTTTCATCTTTGGCTGCTCGAAGCGTTCTCCCTGATTTCAAAACGGCAGTATACTTCTTGAAAACGCTTCTTGTAAACGCCGAGCTCTCATAATCGAGGATGAATTTAAAAACACTTACTTTTGCTGATTGTTGTAAACCAAGTTATCTTTAACAGGCTGGTGACCATATAAAAAAATCCTTGCATATTTCCAAGTTCTTAGTTTAATGATTTTGAAAGCGTTGGTCTTGAAGTTTGAATTTGACAAAGGTAGTAGTCTGTTTCAGCCAATCAGTTGAATGAACTAAAAACGCGCGCGCTGTCAAAACTTGTTGTTGTAGTTATGTTTTTCGTGTATATTATTAATAATTAATCACATGATTTTTCTCGTGCAATTTGGAATAAATAAGCACTTGTAAATTTTTCAAAAACCACAAAGTGCACTCGCTCTACGGGCTCGTGCACTTTTGTTGGTCTTTGAAAAATTTACTCGTGCTTATTTATTCCAAATTGCACTCGAAATCATGTGATTACCTATACAAAGTCCAGAATCTGAAAAGAGTCTCGCAGAGATACAAGTCTGTGCGCTTTTTCGTATTTTCGAGATCCTCAGAGAATTTGTTCACCCCAGCACCTTTTTACAGCTTTGCGTGGACACGTCATGTTGTGCGCTATGGGACACCAATATCCAGACTCCAGGAGTCTGGAAACTAACAGTAACATCTGTCATTAAGTTTTGCTACGTTTTTATTAGGGAACTTAAGATGGAGACGTTTTCGGGGCGACGGCAACTTCAACCGGACGTGACGTCATGATTTGTGCAATATTGCGCATGCTCTTGCTCACCACATTACCGTCGCGCTCCCGTCGGCGACGTGAAACTGTTCTGTTTGACGTTGTGGCGAGAACGTGAGTATTTAACTTTCATTTCAATCAAGTTTGTTGCGTTTAGCAACCAGAATTTTGCAGACTATCGTTCTTCAATTGTCCTTGTTTTCTTTGAGTCACATTTCAAGCTCGATTTCCAAGCTCTGTTATCTAAACTTACATCTTTATAATGTTTCTATGTTTCATGTCACAGAGTCAAGATCCAATCTGATCCAATATCCTGGCAAACAGCAAACCGTAAGTGATCTTTACATGGACAAAATTGTCCTACGAGCCAAATGAAAGTATCCAGACAAAAAGTGTAAACTCCGATATTTTAATTGTGTGTTTTTAGCTCACTTTTTCCGTTAGAGTATCGTATAAATGAAACGTATTGAAAATTGTTTAGAAAAGTAGGTAATACCACGTACTAACGTGGCAATACTAAAATAAAGTTGTTGTTGTTGTTGTTATTGTTGTTGCATGCAAGCAAATAAGCATTAATTCTCTTAATTCTTTATGTGAAGCCATATTTTCCTCTTCGGTAGTCTTCCAAGGCGCCGTCCTCCTGAGCTCACTGCGATCTTAAAGTTCGACTTTTGGAGGGAAGCGACGGCTGCCTCTGTTCCAGGCCTGCTCTGCCAGTCCGGTCGCCGTCCCCCCGAAAACGTCTCTATCTTAAGTTCCCTATTCTAAGACAGTGACTGCACAGAAGGTAAACTCTGAAAAGATACTGAGGTACTTTTCACTTGGACGATCCCAAGTACACTTTTCGGGATCGGCAAACTCTGCCTCTCACGATCCACAAGTGCAAAGCTTGATTTTTAATAAATCAGACTACTTGACCTTGCTGTATAAATTAAAGTGATAAATCTGTGTGGACAACTAGATAACGACATAATTCTTTCTACAATAAGAAAAAAAAAAAAAAAAAAAATGGAGAATTGACTTCATAAGATAACCAAGCGCGTGGCTCATTGGAATACAATTTTGTTTGCACGCCAGATGACTAACAATTTGTGCATGTAAAAGGACTACATACTGTCCAATTTGGAAATAATTGGAAGAATTAAAAAAAAAAAATTCCCAGGACAGCCAAAATTATGGCCGAGTCCAATTTGAAAGTCAGAGGAATTAATTTCTCGAATCCAATTATTTCGAAATTGGACTTGCAAGCATGTAGTTCTCTTACTTATTAATCATATAGCTGACTAGTTGGTTTCCAGATTTATAAGCGTCTCACAGAAATTATATAAAACGCTGGCTGTCAATGATACGGTGCTTCAAATGAAAACCAACAATGCAAATACTAAATTTACACACGAAAACTGTTGATAATAAAGATTGCGTCTATCACCTTAAACAATGTCCGCCATTTTTCGATAACAAAAGCTAACAAACTAAAAACTTATTAAATTAAAACGTTTCTGTTCAAAACTGTCTGAAAATGTTCAAAACAGGAATGCCCGTGTCGAACCATGGAACAAACCGCGAACATACTTGATATCCGAGATGTACTTGTTTTTCGTTCTATTTCGCTGACCGTAGACTTTGTCAGCAGCTGAAAGCCGGCCAAAAAACACAAATAACAGTGTTTTCTTCTTCTTCAAATTTTCAGTGTTTGCACATTTGCAGGACCGTTTGTAGTTGCTACGCCGCGAATGCGGGCAGGTTTTCAACACAAACCTTTGTCAGTTTGGTCAAATATTTTCCCTAACAAGAAACCAAAACAAAACAGCAGCATTTTTAAAAGAGTGACAACAGGAGCCTTCGCCGACGACGGAACCGCCATTAGCCAACGAGACCGAGTTTCTGGCGCGTCGTTTCAGGAACTGTGCGCTGAATGGCTAGTTTGTATTGCTTGTTGTATTTTCTGGCATTAGATTGGTTTGGCCAAACTGCACTTAAAATTTTTCCCTCCATTGGACAGTTTGCCTTTTTTCAAAGAAAATTGCTATCTGAAACTGTCCAAATTAATCCTTAATTCAACAGTTCTAAAAAATTAAAGCATAAAACCTATGCTGACAATATCGGATTAACTACCAGCTATATAATCAATTTATTTGTTTATTGAATGCAACATAAAATTAAGCTGTAAAAAAGATCAAACAAGAACTATGAGTTAGTTGGGAAACGTCACCTTAACAAAACAGTGACGACAAAAGACCGTGTAAGAAATTATTCAAACACGACTTACCTGGTGTAAATTCCTGTCCAACTGACTTGTTTCTTCCGCCTTTCTTTTGCAAAGGTTGTATATCCATACAGCAGGAATAGTAAAAATATTCAGTGGTAGTGGAATGGGATGATAGTTTTGATACGTCTGAATTGCGATAGCTTTTTTGAAAACCCATTCGTTTCGCGAATTATCCTAGAAAGATGATTATAGTTTAAACAAAAAATCATTTAGTGAAGTAAAAACCAAAATAAATCTTATCCTTTATTGCGCAGCGAGGGGGGTAATCTACGATCAAGTAGTTTCAACATTGTCTCCCCATGACCTTGTCTAGAACCTTTACGGTTCCCTGGTCCCGGAGGTTTTTCGTTTTCGGCCAGGAAGATTGGGAATAACCTTTGGCTACTTTGGCGTTGAATCTCACTTCCATTGTTAAAATTTCTAATCAACA